CCCCCCCCCTCTAATCCTATGTAGCTCAAAGTGATCTCCTTGTTTTCTTCTTAATTAAGTCACGTTTGCACAGGTGACAGGCGCTTGTTTGCGCATGAGTCTAAACTTAACTCGAGAACCGACATCTTATTTATCTCAAATACGAGTTTTTCCTTTAGCCTTGACGCTACCTCGATCGGGAATTGCTCCTTTGGCGGCCCCGTTACTTCAATCGAAGCGCCTTCTTAAATGGAATATAAGGACCCTTCCTTAAACGCTAATAATTTTACAATCTAAGAAACCTCCTCGAATTCTGATTCGATATTTACAATTTAGATCTCAATCTGAGTTTCATAGTTCCATCGTATTACGTTGCTATCGAGACGCGGAGGAGAAATATTTCCGATTAACCTAATTGAAAACGTAAAAGAACTTTTGCAACTAGCAACGTAGAGATTCTCGAAATTTCCTTCCGAATTAACGTATCGACATTTCGTATTGACGCGCGCGTAAATCGGCCGCTGACGTTTGACAGGGAATGCTCCCGGGTTTTATCGTGAACAATTTGCAAAGTAGCATCGGTGGAAAATTTCGCGACCTCAGAGGGTCGAAATCCGAATATCACATTCGATCTTACCGTTGCTCGTCCGTGTCCGCTTTACGATCCCCATCGTAAGGCCGATCAGCCGGCTTGAGGTTCCCTGTCGAATGTCCCATAATCCGAGATACGCGCGGCGTTTACGGCTGTATCGTTTGAAAAGTATCGTGTATGAATTCTCGACATGTCCGTAAAAGAGCATCGCGACGTTACTTTCGCTTGGCCTAAGCTATCGTACTTATTTGGATGTGCTGTTCGTTCTTCGCGTCATCCTTCGCCTTCCTCCGCTTCTTCTTGCAGTGGAGCTCCTCCTGAATCTCCAGCAACGACTTGCCCTTGGTTTCCGGGACGATCAACGCGATGAAGATCACGCCTAGGTAGCAACTGACGGCGAACCAGCCGAAGGCCGCGTACACTCCGCAAAAGTCGGAGATCACTTGGTACATCTTCGAGACGATGAAAGCCAATAAGGAGGAGGCCAGGTTAGTCAAGGACACCGCGGCGCCTTTGACGTTCGTCGGGAACAGCTCGCCCAGCATCATGTAGGGCAGCGGATTCAGACCGAGCGCGATGATCAGCTCGTAGAATATCACGGAGGCGTGTAGTATCCAGCCGTACCCGCTCGTGTTTACGCCCAGCTCGGTTTTCAGGAGATAGAAGGTGCCCGCGACGGTCAGCGAGATCCCGCCTAACAACGTGGTGCTCAGGAGCAACGGTCGTCTGCCGAGCTTGTCGACCAACGCCGCCGCGCCGAGACCGGCGACCAACTGCAGCAAGCTCAAAAGGATGACCGCGATGCTCGCGGGCATGCCGGTCTCTCCTTCCTCGAGGATCTCCTGGGTGTACGACTCGATCGCGCATATACCGCTAAACTGGAGAATCAGTTGCAAACCGAAGCTGATGACGACGGCCCGCCTGTTGCCGGGCGTGCTGAAGAGGTCCCGGAAGCGGCCCTGATCGCTGAGGTCGCGTATCACCGTCTTCTGCATCTGCTCCAGCTCCTCCTCCAGCTGGTCCTCGGAGGTGTTGCGTTTCAACTTCTTCAGGCTCGCCACCGCCTCGTCGTTGCGATTTCTCATGAGTAAAAAGTACGGCGACTCGGGCATCCATATGAAGGTCAGGAAGAAGGCCAACGGGATGAGCAGGCAGACATAGGCGAGACATTCGTAGGAGACGAACGGACCGACCGCGTGTGCGTACAATTCCCCGAACGTTACCATTAGCTTGATGAAGGAGCCGAGGGCGCCCCTGATCTCCTTGTCGGCGATCTCGCCGATGTACATGGGACAGACGACGTACACGACACCTTGGCCGATACCGCTGATAAAGCGCGACGCGTAGAGCACGTACGGGTTCCACGCGATGACGATCAGCAACCAGCCGACGGTCAACGGCACGCCGGCTATCAGCAGGCTCGTTTTCCGGCCCAGCCAGTCGACTATGAAAGCCGCCAAAATGCAACCGGGTATGGTGCCCAAGAGGTAGAACGACGCGATCCAGGAAGCGTCGTCAGATGTTATCGGGACGTGGGAGTCGGGGGATTTCAATATCGGCAAAATGGGTGACGTCCAGCCTATGTGAGACCCGGTAGTTGCCAGCGATATGGTGGCTGCAACAAAGTCCGCCGGATGAACTCCCCGAGTCATCACGGATAGGCGCGTCCTGCGCGAACGCTGCATATCGCGTTCATATTTACCACGTGGAATCGAAATACGAAACGGAAACACGAAAAAATATTCAGAAAGACTGTTCCTTACTTATTGATACTGTCAATATTTCTATTTAATGCCACTAAAAAATCTGCGCTTTGCCCCCATAAATTCCTCGTTTGGTTTGGCTGCGAAAAATATTCTTCAAATTTACTCGAAATAATATGTTATATGAAATGTAATGTGAAAATCTGACTTTCGGCAAACTTGTTGCTGTGTCGCGATGCAACAAAAGATTTACATTAATGATATAAACCGAATTAATTCCACCAGAGTAATTGTTTCATAAGGATAATGAAAAAAATCGTAGTTTCTATCAACGGTTGTCTCGCAATCGTGAAAGTCTATCTGGGACGTTTTTTCATTCCATATACATACTTCTCAATGAGCCAAACTCGAATTGAACAATTCGTAGATAAGCGGTGATTTGTCGAATATCACTTCTGGAAAGCTATGTACATTGCTTAAGTGGTGTGTAATTAAACGTCGCACAATGGTGTTGTTGTCATTCGATTGATACAAGTGCCTACGTCATTTGTTGCTTTCTGGAATGCTTAGGATACGACTTAGTCATGTCAAATTTCGAAGCTGCGCATGAGTATGATCAAAATGAGACACCAAGCACGATAGCTTAAATAAGTCGTTTAGAGGATTAATTATGCGAAGTTTTAGATGAAGTAAGCAGTCGAGATGATTATTTACGACCCGGAAACGTGAATACGAAGCTCTCCTGAGGGTGCAATTATGTCGCGTAATATTTACGTGGAAGAACAGCGCTAAGATAATAAGCTTAGAAGAGATAAGAGATAAATGCTTCTTCGATCTTGATATTTCGGACTTTGGATACTCTTAATTCCGAAATTTTCCTGATATACCGCAGTGTCACATTTTCAACAGGATTATCGTGCCGATGGCTAGCGTTATCTGCGATTGAAAATGAAAGATGAAAATACTTGTGCTCCTGATATATACATGAACTTTTTTTGCATGTTTAGATTATAAATATTCATGTAGCGAGATGCTTTAAGATGACACACCATTGTGAAGACACATTTTACTTGATCTATTAATTGACCATAATGTTTCCCGCAAAAGTTGAAATTATAGTTTAAACTTCAAACTTACCTGTAATCGCTGCTAAATATTGCGGCCATCGTTTGATATTGGATTGGTCCATCTTTTATTTCTTCTTATTACAGGACTGAGAAGAAGAAAATTCATTATAGGAAAAATATGATGTGAAAATAGTACCGTTAAATATGTGATAACGTTAAAAATTAGGCAGGCTTTAACATGTAAAATTTTATAGAAAATTTCCAGCGTGGAAACATGCGGACAGAGTCTGTTAACATTATCGATATAACATAATTTATTTAGTTCGCTTTAATTAGAACGTTATGTTCAGAGTAAACCTGACAAATTGAAAACTCAGTGCTTTGAGTCTTTCGTATGCAAATTTCTGTTAAATTTTAATCGACGTTATGCTTACAGAGATAGCGATGAAACGTGCTAATGCTACCAGGAAACACGGGTCTTCACGAACTTAACAGCACCCGGATTTTAACATGTTACTGATGGAGTGACGGCTTATTTATGGCGCCGTTGATTTTATACGTTCCTTTATCAGCGCTTTCGTTATCAATCCCGAATCTGTCATTGTCCCCACCCGATGAAGATGTTTGCCTATATACTTTTAGTTTCAGGTGAAGAAGGGCGAACGAATGAATATCAAATATATTCATACATATGTGCACACATCGCATCTGCGTGTTTCGCTCCAGAAGGTGATAGATGTTACGTCATGTCCAATCAACACGAAGCTATAAATAGTCATAATATGTTTTAAAATGAAGTTATAATACGTTTATAAATTAAACAACTTAAGTAAGTATTTATTTATCTTAGGCTGTATGCTCATCACAGTTATACTTCTGGAATTGATTAAGTGATAAATAATATGAAATATTTTTCTCCCATGAATGCAACTTTTTTTATCATTTCAAAAAGTATATGTCACTTTCTTTCGTGCTTCTCAGAATTTACGAAAAATAAAACTGTATAAATACCGACGAGACATCCGATACTTGTGTTATTCGCAAGATGATGGACACTTTTACACGTCGGATGACTTTGAAGAATAAGAATTGTTGGAGGTGAATGAATTTTTGCACAAGCGACTGTCGCCACTGATGAAACATATCGTTACGGAATATAACGGTAATTTTTGTATTGCTGATATTTAACTGTCGCGTAAGCTGATTCGAACATTGTGATATTTGTGCAACATATTAAGATTAGATATATTGAAATTTTCCATATCGTTTTAATTGCATTAAATATTAATTGAATGAAATTTCATAAAATCTGGGAAAACCGATAGCTTTGTTTTACTTCAGATAACAGGATTGATATTTTAAATCAATTAAAGAGACAATCTAGCATACATATTTATGGAAAATTATTCGTACATATTCATATATAGTGCCTCTTCATTATAGGCTCTTGACTAACGACGACAAACGCGCAAATATTACGTAGGCATAATTACATTAGTAATTAATCATTTTACAATATCACAGAGCCGTGATATAAAGGTTTCCCTGGAAAACAACTTTCAACTATAATAAATTATGCCAGTTGCGATGGACATTAATTGGGAAATAAAGAAGTAAAATTGTTACTTGTGTAACGTGAATTTATTAAATAATCGTTTTACATTTACGTAAGGGAAAGGGAAATAAGATATTAAAAAAAAAAAGTTTTCTAAATACCAATGAAAGCGGTCATCATCGAATTTACAAGATATTACGATATTTATGTTTGTAATTGCATCCTAACTCGTTCCTTCAATTTTGTTGCTCTCAGATTTGACCTTTTCTTTCTACAAGAAATCTGCGCAGTTGCAACGATCTCTATCTCGACTTATATTGTTTGAAGTCGCAGTTTTGCTTACAATCGTCACTTATATTATCCACTTATTATCGTGTAAAGGGATTATTATAATCACGCTTGATAAGCGTAAAATATATAATGCAATTTTCGATTCAGTTCGCAGCGGTACATTTTCAATAATCAGTGTTTATATACCCCACGGAATTTTTTCTCGGCTACCTTTAAATCAAATGTGTACATGGCAACAGTTATCGCGCTTGGGAAACATTATCTCTTGCTGCAAATACACGTGCACTCTGCGCATCCGTATAGACGTAGCGCGGTACCAATTTTCGAGAAAAACGTGTGTATACATTAACGGCTATAATTAACCTTTGGAAAACACATCGTGCGTTTCGCACTTTACTGCTAGATGTTAGACGGAAAAGCCTTACATTCGATGACATTCTCGAACTTTTCACGTTACAATGTATTCGCGCTGCATCAAAAAAAGGAGATACGCATTCACAGTTTAAATTAATAATTAAACAAATAATATGTATGATAATATGTATGATAATGAGAGTGAATGAGAATAATGAATAATATATAATTATACCTGCATATTTGATCGATATATGTATACGTTCGGAAAGAGCGTTACATTTTATTTATTTTCAACCGATTAATTAGTTGTATGTTACGAATATTAAAATCCACATATTTATCGCATAAATTAATTATATATAATTTTTTGAAGAATCATCGAATAACTGAAGAATTATATTATTTTAGTAACTAATGATTGTTATAATTCGATATAAATTGGGAGCTGGTTTTTCGCATCGTTCTTGTTATGAAAGGTAGCACCGCTGTATCGCGTGTACATATTTCTGTTTTTATTGCTCGGAGTAAAACAAATAAAGCTGGAATTTTTTAATGAAATGTAAAATATAAATGGTGGCGTAGTAGGAAATTGCATTTAAATACGGGAAATGTTTACGCGTTATCTGGGCCAAGCGCTCACGTCATTATATTTAATCCATGCAGGATTCGATGTGACACATTTACGACGTCGACTCCGCGAGCAAGATACAGTACACTCATAAGAAACGAATGCGGATATTTTGTCACAAATACTGATGACGTCCTTACGAAAGACGAAACGAGATATTTCGTCAATGTTTTCTCTATACTATCTTTTTCCATGAGAGAATGACGGGAGCAAGTTTTGTAAAACGAAATTGATAACACTATCGCATATATCTTGTCTATATCTATACAAACCGATTATCACAACCGTTCAATGACACGTGAAGTTATTAGGACATGTAATGTATTTTTTATGAGAAACACTCAATTAGTATAATTTCTTGCATTTCCAGATATCATAAGATCTACCAAAATCACCTAGAATGTGTCAAGGATATCCTGAGATGTGTTTTAGGACGTCTTGAACACATCTAGAACGATCTCGAGACGTTTTGTGTCGTCTAAGTTCTTTATATACTCTAATCTAATAGGCTTGCTAGATAAGAATATAATAGATAAGAATAAAAGGTCAATACATAACAATGTAACTGTTATATATTTATGTTTGCTGGGCATTTACGCCGTGTATTATCACTCAGCTCCTGTCATAATCGATCGCCACGCAAGCCTTTTAGCAGTGACTCGCAATTGAACTAATACTTGATATGTTCCCGACTTCTCTCTCATCAGAACAAATATATTCAAACTGTTTCACAAACAAGTGTACACGCGATTTATTGTTTAATCTAACGACCATTTACCTTATCTTCGCTCTTGCGAGAATATCAAAGTTATCACGATAGTTTTACTCGTTATTATTTCATACAACATATCGGAGCTTTTAGTACCGATTTTAGTCAGTTAAGTAAGTCCATGTGCTTCTAAAAGTGGCTTAGAAGCCACCTGAGAAGCCACATTTAAGGCACTTTCATTGATAAAGGTGAATTCAGAATACGGACCTTATATTCTCTTTATATTTTCCATACCACAAATATTACAAATACGGAAACGAATGGGCCTTGTTTCACTGTCTTGAATCGAGCTGCAGATTGCTCTCGTGCCATCACGGCACCGATATCCGCATTGTCAGGGTCGCAACGAGCTGAATTTCCGATTTTCTTGGGCGTGCACGCCGCACGTGGCGCGTTCGAGCGAGTTTGTGTTTCGCGCGCGATACTCGCAATCTTTCAGGCGCATCGATCGCCGCCATCGTACTGCTTCGGGCAGTAGCGAGCCGTCTGCCGTTGCGGGGACGTCGGTTGACTGAAAAATCCGTGCGTATTCGTGAGAACGAGACGTGTGGTGGCCTCCTGGCAGTGGACATTGTCCGTTCGCCGCGTCTCCTCCTCGGCCGAGAAGAAAACCCCGAGCAGTTTCACGCGTTGCGTCGCGAAACGTCGCGACGCGAGCCGACCACGGCTGCAGAGATTCGACGAGGGCAGCGGACAAACGAGCGCAGCCGAAGATGTGTGGCGGCTTTACGTGCTCGAAAAATGCTCTGACAGCGCTCAACATTCTTTATATCGTAAGTAGTCGGCTTTCACACGTCGACCTTTAAGACAGCTTCTCCGTGGGAAGACGCGTGACGTTCGTCCGCGGTTTCCTCCACCTCGCTCGATGTTTACACGAACTCGAGAGCGATATCTGTGCGCGAAGCGCAGTTATATCAACATATAACCAATTTCGAGCACATAGTGACCGATTAGATGCTCTCTGTCTCATTTTTTGGACTACATACAGCTACGGCCGCGATACACGTACGATATGTGCGAAAACAGATGATCAATTTAAACGTGTCAGAGTGCTGACAGAATGCAGCAACTGACGTTGCTGTTTCACCGATCGTTGAATAATTGCATTAAGAATTACTGCGAACACGACCGTGCACGAGGAGCCGTAGGTGCCTTTTGTCGAATTTTTTTTATCGCTTTTTATCGCTTGTACTTATGCTGAAGAATGGTTAATTATCGCGAGCGGGATAATGTAAGCTGCAACTGGCGATTGCTATTCAGATTATGCGCAAGTCTAATGTATCGTTCTTCTCTCCCAAGATTATTTCACGATTCTCATAGGGAATGTGCCAATTTTGCATTATATTGTGTGCGTTTATATCATAGATAAATCTGTGTATATACATGTACCTTTGTCAATAATTATTTTTCTTACAGGTTGTTGCCTTTATACTAATAGGAGTTGCTGTATATGGAAAAGCATCAGCCTTAGTTACAAATCTTCCCATTATTGGCGGTATTTTAGCATGTGGCGTGATCCTGATTCTTATCTCTATATTAGGCTTGATCGGTGCTGTTAAACACCATCAGGTCTTATTGTTCTTTGTATCCTTTTCATCTTGCAGTTGGATCTCAGGCTCAGAAAGCAGGAATTATTGTCTCAGCTTGGCTTATCCTTACAGCTATGTTAATAAGTTTAGCATCTATAACAAAGAGACGAATTTATTTAGTATTTATTTTTTCTTGAAGCAAATACTAAAATTTTATGGATATTATTTTAGTATTACAAATGTACAATATATTTCATATAATTTTTCTCATTAAATAATATGACATAGAATATTATTCGGAAAGAAATAAAGAAACAAGCGTATAATTCCTTAATTGTTTCACAGTACATGCTTATCTTATTCCTTTTGTTCCTCATTCAATTCAGCATTGCTTGCGCTTGCCTCGCTGTCAACACAAAGCAGCAAGAACAACTTGCGGAACAGGTAATTTCTACACTCGAACAGAATCACGATCGTACTCACATTTATATAACAAATTCGTGATGCATAAAATGTAATAATAATTTTTTAGGGTTGGATACACGTTGACAAAGATTTGAAGGCCAAGGTTCAAACCACTTTTGGCTGTTGTGGATTTAATGGCACTTCCGACGACCCGGATTTATTCTGCGATGAAGTTAGTGTATATAGTGCGACAAAAGTGATATTTCTCCCATAATCTACGGTACATGTCCCGTAATAACTATTGGGATCTTTTGCAGAAAGTTTGTTGTCAAACAGCCGACACCCATCCGTGTCCACCTTGTACTACATGTATGTATAAATTGCAATCTACCATTGATTATGCCTTCAAATTGTGTGGCAGTATAGGATTATTCTTTAGCTTTACGGAGGTAAGATTCTGTAAATAATGTTACATCATTTCTCACATACACATATTGCACAATTACTCTATATTTACTGAAGTTGTAAATATTTTCGAGACAGTGAAGAATACTACTACTTTCGCAAAATATGTATGATTATATCTGGTTATTTTGTTTTATATATTTGAGAGTTTTATCTAACCACACACACACACACACACACCCACACACACATACACACACACACACATAAATGTACTATACTGTATATACACACACTACTGATCACAGCACAACGAAAGTGTTTTCATATTGCTGATGCTAACACGTGTGCCCGATTACAGTTTGTTGGTGTGTGGTTGACCGTGCGCTACAGGAACCAGAAAGATCCACGAGCTAATCCTAGTGCTTTCCTCTAGTCTAACACCATCGCCATGTCCTCTGTCACTTCATACGATCCTCCTAACAGATGGTGGGTGCTTGCACAATTCTGGTTGTGGTCTTTTGATTTTTTTTTTCTCGGCACTGTAGCTTCGCCGTTCAACTATTCATGCTCTGACGTTTCATTCACAATGTTTGACGAATCTGTAAATTATACATGTGATATATAGCGTATAGCAGTTCACGCGATAGGGATCTCGATGATATTTGTATCATAGTTTTTTTTTTCTTTTATTCCGGGACGCGTTTTACATGAGTTCTCTCTTCAAATTTAGAAGATCAAAATTTCAATATTTTCAGGTGATTGCAGCTTTCTTGGCGAGGCGTTATCGAAATCAGTTAGATCCGCAAGAAAAGGCTGCAAGAGCCATTTTTCCGCAACGTGATTATTTGTACTGATGCGACAATGCATTTGCGAAAAAATGGTTAATTTTTCTTTTTTCTTCGTGCAATTGACGTAATAATACTCTTATCGAGTCTCAAAAGGCGTCAAAGACGTCATCGCCATTTTATCAAGATCATTTTCGATTGTCCGAACATGTTATGCAACGTCAGGTTATTTTTTCAAAGGCTGAAATTTAAATTCTCGAATGCTGCAACGTTGCCTACGCGCAATGCTTAACAGAAATAGAAACTGTTTCTTTTTTTTTTTTTGATCGGGCAGTCAAAGATTCTAGATCGAGTTAGAGAAATAATAACGCAAATGTGTGCTCTAGTCATACACACTTAGAACATTCATACTAAGCCTCAATGCGCCTTGTAGTCTAGAGACGAAGAGAAGGAAACATCACGTAAGTATATCTGTATTAAATTTCTTTATTTTGTTCTCAACTCGCCAATGGAGATGGAAATGGTGAAAATTTAATTACAATAACGCAATTATGCTGTTTAGTTCGACAATTTGGACACATCATGATGTGATCTAATCATGGGACGATATAAATGGGGCGAGAAATTGATTTTGTTTTTAAATATTTTTTTATGGAAGAGAGTATAGTTTATCATGGTAATAACAGCATAGATGATAACACCGATGATCGTGTCATAATCATATTTTTCTTGTATGAATAACATCATATTACATATTATATATACGTAACTATTCTCTCAATGATATAATATCTAGAAATTTATATCTTCCCGAACAAAACCAATTTTGTCATATCGTCTTTGAGTATTTTTGGATAACTTTATAATGTTTTTATTGTATCCGAGATGATAGTATGTTACTTTATATATCTCTCAAATTTTCTATAGCGCTATATGCATTTTTCATTTTATACAAGAAATTGTAATCAAAATAATGAAAGGAGATTCTATTGTATTTCTACACATTCGAAAACTAACCTGGATGAAGTTTGACTTGTTTTTCTAACAAGCATTACATATTTATAAGTTTTTTTACGTTTTAATATTTGTTCTTCTATTTGCTTGTTATATATCGTACATAGATACTGTGCGAGAAAATATTACGAATCCACATCAAATATAAGTAAACATATATCAAATCTTATTGTATGGTAATGCCATCCGTGTGATAATATAAAGTTTATCATATTTCAAGTTTCACACATGCACTAAAAAATATCCAGTACGAATGCTTTGCTTGAGACAAATTCTGATTGTGCACTATAAGAAAATTTATAAATAATAAACTGAATATAAGATATGTGTGTCTTAAAAGACCTGGTGGGAAATTATCGACGAACTTTGTAATAATCTCACTTTCTTGCATAATGCAGGATTCTTAATGGATCCTTCTTGCAGATTTTTATCTTTCGCGGGCATAAATGAGGATATTCGAGTCATTTTGTCGACTCGTCACTCGACGTATGGCCGCATAAGTTCAAGAATAATGAAGATTGCATCCTAATTAAGGAGAAAAATATTTATTAAAAGGTATCTCTCTTGCGAAGTGATATCCCGCCAGGTCTTTCTCGGGCAATATAACGAAAGCGTATCTTTACAAGAAACGTGAATTTAATGTGCATGGAAATATTGTACGTTTACATCGTGCCCGTTCTAGACATTAGAAAATATAGCATATTTTCTATCCAATCCTGTTACGTGAGATATAGATGGGACGATTGTCGCTGTTATTTTTCTTAATATCACATTAATTTTTTTTTTTTTTATGCGAAGTTCCATATCAGAGAGGCTATGAAAATACATTGTCTTCGCAGTTCAATAACGAATCGAGCTCGTTGCTGTGCATTGGTAAGATCAGAGACTTGACGATTACTGACGATTAATGAACACGTGAAAACAAGATTCGCGGGATTCGTTATTGGACGATAAAATTATCTAGTTTAATGTACTATGAAAAATGTGTGAAGATCCGTTCAAGGAGGAGTGTTTGATTCTGAATAAATTCTCGCGATGACAGCTGTGCCCTACGATTCGCGACTTATTGTTAAGTAACTAGCGAATGTATCTTCCGACGAGCGTAAGAAATGAGATCTCGCCGACATTCCGATTTTTACGCACCTCCGCCTGGCTTCGGTAGAAACGTGCATATATTTTGTATATGTACGGAATAGGGCTCGTGTCGTACACGCGAGATATATACGCTAGCGTAACTCCTATACATATTTTTACCTTAATACGTATCATAATCGGTATAACCGTAACTAGTACTAAACAATTAATGTAACGTACCCGTAAAAGAGCTGCGAACAATCGAGGGATTCGGGACTGGCGTGTGCGTGCGATTTGCGATTTTCCGTGATCGGAAAGATTAACCGAGATCAAAACTAGCTGCGCGATTATACTACGCGTACTGCGTGCGACAGATGCTTCGAAATCAAAATCTGAGGAGGCGCGCGCGGGAGGATTTAAATATCGACAATCCTAGGTAGTGGCGGTCGTGTAAATGTGTTGGTACGGATGATGTACGAATTACACTCGATTTAATGTCCTGACGCGCATCGAATTGTGTTGATTCTACATGTATCCTCCGGAGATGCGTGGGAGCTCGAAAGATCGCGCCGTTCTACCTTACACGGTTCGAGATAAATCGATTCTCGAGTACCCGCGCACCTTCGATATTCGTATAATCCTATGAAATATATGGCCTCTAGGCAGAATGATTGACTTATAATTTCAAAACAATGCTTTGTGCCCTAAATTTTGATCTAAGTTATCGTTTGCTTATTTTTCTCCTGTACAACGTTTCGTCATCGATCGCAAATAGAACGTCTTTTTTAATTTAACAGGCACAAGACAGTCGTGCGTTTCTTGAAGACTCAAGGCGTAAAATATTGTCTTAAATCGATAAGTCAGCCATTCTACTAAGGCCCATAGCCTATGTTGAGTGCAAAGTTAAAAGGAAGCAGAAGAAAAGAAAAAAAAATACTCAATTGTAGTCGTAGAAACATACCGTTGTGCGCGACGCCGACAAATTGTATCAGAGTAAGCAATCGAGCAGCTGAGTCAGTCGTCAGAGCTCTCCACGTATATAGTGATTGTGATAAATAAATAAACAAACGATGAATCAGTCTCTCGGACGTGTCTTATTCGGAAAAAAAAATGCGAGAGAGCATCTCTTTCGCTCAACGTATTCGCGCGATATATCTCTCGGTTTTGACGCGTCAGCAGAAATCCCGCCGAAGTCGCGAAAACTAGTTTTTCGCGATCGATCGCGAGCTGACGGGCGCGATCTCGCGCGATAACAAAAATGCCGCAATTTATGCGAACAATCGAAGCGGAGAGTTCGTTCACCCGCTCATTTACGTAATATCGTGCGCGTAACAACGATCGATCTCGGGGCGGCCATCGATTCACACTATCGATTCCTTTCATCCCCTCTAAAGAAAGATGGCTGTTACGGCACGCTACGGCGCACCGCTGTCCGAAAGTCATAGTTCCGCGGTGTTGATAAACAAGCTGGGTGCCTGCGTCGGAGGTGTCTGGCTGGCGTCCACGTGAGGTTCCGTGTCGATATAACGTTCCTTTCGTGTCCTCCGCGGTATACAGGAACAACAACGGCGTCAATCACGGAATCGGCGAGGGAAGGCGCGACGACAACGGCGGCGGCGACGGTGGCCGAGAGACAACGTCTACTGGCTCACGGCGACGGCACTGTTGAGGTTATGGATAACTTCGTGAAAATCGAGAAGATAGGAGAGGGTACCTACGGGGTGGTGTACAAGGCCAAGGACAAGTTAACCGGGAAATTGGTGGCGCTCAAGAAGATTCGCCTGGAGACGTATGTAACTTGACAAAAAATCGCACCTTTCATCTCGCGCGCGCTCACGTTAAGATCACTAACGAATAACAATGTGTGTCGATGTGTATCGGCGTTTACATTGCGCGTAATAGAATGCTTTTGTGAGTGTCATACTTGTCATGTGCCAGCGTATCTCGCGTACGCCAATTTGCACTCATAAGGGTGCGTATTAGCAAAATGTTATTCGTTACTCGCGAGTGAATAAGGTCTAACGTCGGGCGCTGCTTTGTTTGTACACATATCTGAGTCATTCAGAATGTAGATGGAAATTGTTTATAATAATGTGTAAGTCAGGCACCCGTTATCCATAAGTATCTGTAGGATATATCTGGATACGATCATTTGAGCGAATGTTTGATATTTTAATTTGGTAAGTATCTGTGTTTGGATGTGGAAAATGATGTAAATAAGTATCGGCAGGAAATTGTTTCTTCGGTTGACCGTCCTCGTGTTTCGAGGAGCTTGCTATCCTTGATTCCTTTCTCGTTGATTCCACTGATTAAGTAAAGTACATGTTAAGGTCAAGATAAGCTAGACGTGAACACACAAGGATTGCTCTTACATGTATATATAAAAAGAATACTCTTTCCTCTCATATCTTTAGTATAATAAATACATAAATAATATTACTAACTCCTTTTAGTTCAACTAATTGCTTTTTAGAAGAAAGTACAGACTTCTTTTTACAACATTCTTTGATTTATTTTTATGCAGACCCATGTAACATATAATCATCAAGCTTTTATTAATCTAGTGTATGGAAAGTGATTTTCATCGCTACCATTAATTTCTGTTTCCTTTGGATGCTTGATATAAATAACATTTTTATAAAATACTCTATATATTCTCTACCAACGAACAATATGTATACATGAAAACACTTACTATGAGGAAATTGTCTCTAGGTACGAGAACACTTAGAATATTGCAATGAGAAATTATAATTGTTAATTTAAAAACAGACCTTTGTCACTATGTCCTCTTCCACGGGCTATAAAATTATGTTTGAATCAAGTGAAACTAAGAGATTCTATATTTTTAAGAATGTGCCCTTATAAATTCACTGGCAACTAGACTAGTCTGAGTAATATCCGGATAAGATGTACGCTTTCTTAATTGACCTCACAAAACTGAATTCGGCCCTTATGTTTCTACATGTATATGTTGAAAATTATCAGTTTGCAGAACTGCAATGTCAGCTGGGCTTTTTTTGCTTGTGCACACTGCTAACACACTGCTAACAACCTGCATATTGGGGTCAGCTAAATCTGCGGGGGCCACGTTACATTAATTTTCGTAGCACCACGTTATTTAGCTTGTCCCATTATGCCATGCTCGCCTGGTTTTTGATTTAGTATTTTTGTTTCATTTAATACACTGTGTAATTATTCGTTTTTTTTTTTTTTTTTAATAAGACAAGACTTGTTAGGATTATTTTTGGCATAAGAACTCGTGTATGTCGACTGCACAATCGATATCAATTGCAACATTTAATTTTTTTTCCATTGGAGATAAAATTTCTTCTTGGACATACCCCGGAATTACAGAGTTGTGCTTGCGTATTCGTCTCTCAATGGATGTAATTTCGACGTTCTGAGTATTATGTCACCCGTGTATATGTTTGTAAGAGACTTGTAAAAACGAACAATTTTTGTTGAGTCTGAAACGTCTGTCGAGTTATATAAAAAAAGAAGAGAAAAAAAAGAAGATGAACTCTCTTCTGTACGGAGTAGGAGACTCATTAGCGCATCGATAATTAGCGGATTATTTAGCGCACTGGCGAGATACGGTACTGTGCAACTTCCTTTGCATAATAACGTTGCTTTGCACCAGGGAAAGGGAAGGTGTTCCTTCCACCGCCATTCGAGAGATATCGTTGTTGAAAGACCTCGCTCATCCGAACATCATACAATTGTACGACGTCGTAGATGGCGACAAGCATCTGTACCTCGTGTTTGAATTTCTGCAGCAGGATCTCAAAAAGTTGCTCGACTCCGTGAAAGTGGGTCTAGACGAGGCGCTCGTGAAGGTATCAGATATCACGCTTTCATTTCGCGCGCGAGCGACGCGATAATAGTACGCGCGTCTTAAGGTGAGACGCTTCATTGTTGCAGAGCTACCTCCACCAGTTGCTGAAGGCGATTGCCTTCTGTCATCTCCGTTGTATATTGCACAGAGACTTAAAGCCGCAGAACCTGTTGATAGATCGCGATGGTCACATCAAGCTGGCCGACTTCGGCTTAGCAAGAATGATCGGCGTGCCCGTGCGCACATATACGCACGAGGTCGTAACGCTTTGGTACCGCGCGCCGGAAGTACTTCTGGGAACCAAATTGTACACCTGCGCACTGGACATATGGAGCCTTGGCTGTATATTCGCGGAAATGGTACGTGAATCGTCGTGATAATCATCGCCGCGCGAACCCGTCGGAATAACGAAGTATCGAGGCTCCCGCGAGGTAGAGTCTGTGTTACAGACATTCATCTGAGCGCCCACGAGCACGTTGTCGAAGGTAATTCTCTAGCATCGTCCTCATAGGCTAACAGGAGGGCTCTGTTTCCCGGTGACTCCGAGATCGATCAGTTGTTCAGGATATTTCGCATACTCGGCACACCGGACGAAACAATCTGGCCCGGGGTCTCGCAGCTGCCAGACTATACATCCAGATTTCCGAAATGGGAAGGGACCGAAGTGGGTAAAGTTATATCGTCTTTCGACGACGACGCCAAAGATTTACTTTCGGTAAGGACGAAGGAAGAGAAAAAAGAGAAAGAGAGAGAAAGATACTAGCGTGTACTTGTTCGCGACGTCGTCGGCGTTCACGTTTTCATGGATTCTCTTTTGTGTTTCTAGAAACTGCTGACGTACGATCCTAATCAGAGGATAACCGCAAAAAAAGGATTGACTCACCCTTACTTCAAGGGGGTTAAATTAGTTCCACCACCACTGCCAAAGAAAAACTGACCGTAGATTTATGGCTGACCGGCGTACATATGTGTTTTTTCTTTTTTATAGGTTTTGAAATGAAACTTAAATGAAACGAAATCAAACTCAAAAGCGTAAAATACTTCCAGAAAAAGAGCTAACACTAGACTAGTGAAAGTGTGTTCATTTATACTACAACGTTATATTATCTAATATACATATCCAAATACATATATATATATATATTTTTACTTCTATATATCTTGTTATTTGCAATTTATTTCCCGTATCCTCTTTCAATTTACTGTTCATTTATCGTTACACTGTAACGTACGAATGTGTGTGTATATATTATTATGTTTCAAATATTACTATATATTTTATATTTATTTTTGACAATGATGCTCGGACGTTAACTAATGAGAATCGTTAACTAATGAGAGTTAAAAACGCTTCGTAACGAATCAAGTTTTCATCAATTTTTTTTTTATAGACTGCTACAAAGGACGGAGTAAAGAATATTGAAACTACTCATAACATCGAGTTAATATCGTTAACAATTCATTATCGTCTATTGATCAAACGGTACTTTTGTTTCCGATACCCGTTGGGAATCATTCTTCTATATAGGGAAAGATACGGGGTTGGAAATTACTCGTATTATCAAGTAGTACAACTAGTGCGACCTATCCTAACGGTGGATGGTAAATTCATGATCTCATCTTGATCACGAGGGTAGATACAGCAGAGGATCACTGATCCCGATGTTACACGGAATGTGATCATGAGGTTACCCTTCTGGTGCACAGGGAGAATTTTGTAGTAAAAATTACTATAAAATTTTATAACCAAAGAACACGCCGACATTTTCTCTGCCCTAATTTATTACCTTTCCGGTTTATACACGCCATTTATATTTCAGAAAATAAAATCTGCAATTAGAAAACTTACTATAGTACTTAGCAAAATAAATTCTACTGACAGCCTCTGTTCCCGCACTACTAGAAAATAAATTTGAAGAAAATTTATACGAAGAAAAGCTGAAATATTCTCTCCATTTAACATCACACGGTACATCGCGCGACACGATAGCATTAACGAGAACAGCGATATCAGAGGTTGGAATTCGGCTGTTATCCGTACCGAATGATGGCATTGTCGGGGTGACTTCTCCGTCGATGGCGGCGGGGATGATAACGGGCGAATTGATCGTTGTTTACGCGTAACCGGAGCTGTTATTACTGCATCGTTAATAGATACACTATATCGCTGATTACATTAGCAATCAATTTCAATAAAAAATAATTAAATCGGCAATTCAATTATCATCGCCACGTGTAGCATTAACGATGATTGCCGTGGGGCAGAATTTTATTTCGATTCAATATGTCATTTTATCGGCCCGTCCCTCCGGCATGCCGATTGATATTGTTATTTTCGAAGAGTGTCATTCTACCGCACATTTGCACAGCGCCTACGGCTATCACGCCACACGCGCATTCGTGAATAATGCAGCCTTCTCTATTGTAGAAAAAGCGAATGAGCTTCCCCCGCGCGGCTAATATTTCGCTGTATGCGACGCACCGTGCTTAACGAATTCGATATCACGGCAAAGCGGTCGGTATTATGAAACTTTAATGAAAGTTGGTGCGTCAAAATGCCGCGAAATCAAAATTTTATTTGGTCATTAAATATACCCGTGCAAAAACATGCGTGACGCCCGTCGAGCGCAATGCGTAACGTTCGACGCGTTTATAATGCAGCGCTCGTCACCCGATAGAGCTATAATATTTAATACGACGAAAACTTACTGTCCACAGCTAGCGAACGCGTCGTAACCGTCAACCGTCGACGTGACGTGTTAAACTTCCTTCGTCGAGAATTCAGCTGTTCGACGGCCCGTCGCTTACTTCTCAGCAGGACATTCGAAGTCGCTAATGAGGCGGCGATTGATCAAGTATGCGCGTGCGATCAATCATCGCAAATATTTTTCTCAAGATTAATACGCGATACAGAGAACATTACGCAGCGTTATCGCCTTATGCCTGTAATGAGATAATGAATAATTGTTCACTCCCTCCCTCTCTTTTCCTCTCTGTTTCTCGCTTGTACTCCCAGTTCGCCTACATTTCGATTTCCGGATAACAACGATAATCATTTAAATATTATGCATGATACACGATATGCGGAAAAGCCGCATAAAACGTAACGGCGAAAATGCGGCGCATCGCGTTACTGAGCAATTATAAATACATAATACATACCACCGGCTAACGCTCGTAGTTTGCGTTAAACTGTCCGTCGGTCGCGCGCGCCATATCTACCGTTCAATCGATGGTAATTTCTCAATTTCCCTCTTTTTCCTTCTTTTGTGCGAAGCCGCATGCGAACGTTTAATAACGGAGCTGAATAACTATGTTCGTTCATAAATCCTGAAAAAATCATGAACACACACACTCACTCTCTCACCCTCTCTTACCCTCAGACTTCAGCTTTCTCTCGTTCTCTCGCATCCCGGCTCGACAATGAATACACGCATACATAAACCCGCGCCATAAAGCGTCGCGCGCGCGACAGGACGATTAACTTCCGTGCATGTGCAATACCGTAATGTCCCATGAATCGGGATTATTGGTCATCGGGTTCACGTCGCGCGACTCATTTCGCCGACGCGGCTCTCCAACACAATGCACGGCCGCATTTTTGCGCGATCCGACACCCCGACATCGATTATCCCTCTCCTCTTCTATCCTTGGGGAACCCGCGCGTTACTTCGAATATTATTTTTCTACCGATATCTATCTCTGGTATCGTTTTACCCCGATTTTCGTTTATTATTATCCTTCAGAAATATATATATATGTCACATGTGTGTGTTCGTCATTTCTATCGGTGCGACCACTGCGAGGAAGCTGTCGTCCTCGTCGTTCCCCTTCGGCCGGCGAGGACGACAACGACGCGGTGTCTGTTGTGACAAAACGCGGGGCGCTTAGGGAAGCGGCTGCGGGATTAAAACAAACTTCTCCGGCACGTCCATCCGCGCTTGGAACGTCGTCGCGCTCGTACAATGCGCCACGTTGCGGACACACCAGAGTGTGCATCGCGCGCGTTGTGTACACAAGCACACGTATACCATACCTGTGTACATACGTCACCGGGGGAGGAGTGGTACCGCGCTCCGTGCATACCGTGCATACAGGCGGCCCGCACACGCCCGCGGCGTTATCTTTCCGGAGTCCGTGCGCGACAGCGCGAACAACAGCGAGACGCCTGAAAATTTTCGCGAGGCAACTTTCGCGGGGGGGGAACGCAGCTATCTCAGCTCGTTACCTCGCGTTTCCGCAAACCCGCCAGGGCTTACGAAACCGCAAACGTGTTAGCGTTCTCTGTCTCTCCGTTTCCTACCTTGTCCTCTCTCTCTCTCTCTCTCTCTCTCTCTGCACTCACTCTTATTTCGCTTCCGCGATGTAACATTCCTGACTTTAATACAGCCGCGGATACGCCGGAGTTTCGCTCATTGTCGGATAACGTCCTTGTCTGACAACGATAATCGGTCGACGTCACGCGAGCTTAATATATTACAAACTATGAGGAAGAGAGAAGAAGGAGCGTAATGTCAGGGATTACAGCTTGAAATTATGTGCGGTGAAATAACGATGCGCGCGCGATCGCCACGTGGTGGTTCTCGTGACGGCGTGCTGAGAGCGAAAAATTCTCAGCTGCGCGTTCAACGAAGCGCCTCCCTCGATGTTGAAGAGAAGAAAATCACACATCCTTGCTGTGCCGCAGCCGTAACGCTCCTTCGCCGACCCCGAGTGATCTCGCACGGTTTATCACCGACAACCGTCTCTATTCGCTTATTCCGTAATATCGACGATGAGATCGAGCACAGACTATGCCGTGTACAAAAAAAAAAAAGATCGAAGGCGACCTCAATATCTTGGAGGTAGCACAAAAAGTTTCGTTTCATTCATCATATTCCCGGCCTTCGTAACATGCCAGCTTCGTATTAAACATTTTTCGATAGCATGAAAAATGCAGGAGATACCTCAGGTGGCAATAGTTACTGCTGCTACAACCTGTGTATCGACGTTCGCGCTTCATACTGCCGACGCGATCGTTAAATTATTGGCCTCGGCGAGTGCACACATACCCTCGACTTCCCTAAACTAATATGTACAACGGTTCCTCGGGTCCTAATTAAAAACCCGAAATGTGCTTTTATAATATCGCACGATGCTTTCAATAGGTCGCGCGTGTGAGCGTGTCACAATCTACACATTTGTTTTTGTTAATTAAAATACGTAATTCAATATATATATATATATATGTGTGTGTGTGTGTGTGTGTGTGTGTGTGTAAATATAATATTTTATATAACATAATATTATATATTATAATACGCCATCTTGGAATTATAATTTTCATATTTTATTAACCGGTAAAAAGCCGATGTACAGAAACGCGACGAGTGCTATCGAAAGAAGTGTCGAGACATTTAAATACTGATTAAATACTGCAAATTGATATTAATATATTTTGACGTATAGGAAACTTTAGACAGTGTAATTATTGTGTAACGGCAAGCTTGTCTCCAGCTTGTCTCAGTGCGCCAGGAGTCGACCGCCCTTATCACTCACAGAAAGTAAACATTGACTGCACATAGGTAGGCTTGTGTCTCGATCACAAGTCAGAACGGTCTTTGATGCGGAGATGTACGTATCGCGTCACGTCGCACATGCTATTTCGTACCTTTCCAAATTGATTGGAATGTGCCACCGCAAGGCACATCGCGATACTCGACGTGTGTAATCGTCATACTGGGATCGTGAATAACGGGAGTATTCTGAAATTTCAAAGGTGACTTTTTATTATTTAAAATAATCTATCTTGTATTTTGATGTATATTAATGATCAAATAGTATATAATTATTATATTATATATTTATTATGTATTATCATTTATTATAAATTTATATTTTTATATTTCCTATTGTAGAATGTTATAATGTCATATATATGTATCTGCCATCATATTAGTTTCATCCCACTGTTTACGTCTTTCAATGACGTCACTTACATACTTTTTCGGCATTCTGAAGGGAAGAAACAATAGAATATAATATACAATATTTATAAAAAATTGACCATTATCCGACATCGCCATTTTAATTTTTTTAACGTAACGAAAAGCGACCAAGAATCTATAAATTAGATTGCCT